GTTTTGCTTTAAAGCAAGCTTTCCATGCATCATAATGGGAGCTTGTGTAAATTTACTAAGCGTCATGATCCCTTTCCTCATTTGGTATGCTCACAAATAGATCTACTGCTTGGGGGAATAAGTGTGCTCATGGCAATATTTGTTTTGAGCTCCTGTGTCTGCCGCTTATTTAAATGTGCCACCTTGGTTTGTTTTATGGGCAGTGAATATGTAAACTCCCTGTGTGGCATCCTCATCTTAGAAGCGCCTGTAGTATTTAAAAGTAAATTAGAATCATGCCTACCAGACAGGGAAAGGCAAATAGTGCAACTGACCAACATTAATTATTGTAACCGACAATACGTTTGAAATGTTGAGATATTTTGTTATTCACTTCACTTATGGCAGAATAAACCAAAACAGCTGTATTTTTAATTCTATACTTTTGTTTATTTGTTTTTTTTGTTTGTTTTTTCAGAAGGAGCAGAAAAATAAAAAGGCTGGCTGCAGAGCTCTAATGCAAAGTATGAATCAAAAACATTCAAACATACTAAGAAAAACAAAGCAAAGAATCACAGAGCCCTGATGGATTTAAACAGCAATTCAAAAAGGAATGAAGAATAACACAAACCCCGCTTTCATAGAAGTAAGCAAGGATAATTGGCCGTAATTAGATTTATATTTAATCAAGTGTGCTGTCTCTTTTCTAAGCTGAGATGTTGGAAAAAGTAGACTGAAAGGTAAACCAACGAGATCAGTTTGGAAATGAAAGGAGATGTTGCCAAACAAATGCAGCTTAAAAGGCCTAACTGCTTTATATTTTTTTCCTCTTTTAGTCAATACTTTCAAACTTTCATTTAAAAAAATATTTTTTTTTTTACTCAGTTATGTGCTCCAGAGGCTGCACAATGCTGCAGTGGGTAGCAAAGCCACCTTGAAGCAAGAAGGTTCCTGGTCTGATATCTGGCCCGGGGTCTTTGGGGCGACAGTGGCGTCGGATGTAGGAGTTTGCCCTGAAATCGAAGGATTGACGGTTCAAGCCCCGGCTCTGACTTTTAGTGTCATTGTGTCCTTGGGCAAGAAACTTCACCTGCATTATCTACTGATGTTGACTAAATGTAGTGTCGAGTCTCCTGACTTGAATATATAAGTACAAACCATTTACCATGTTCTTCCTGTGCATGCGTGGGTTCTCTCCGGTTACTTCATTAGCTTACTTAGGTGTGAGTTTGTGTGTGAATGTTTGTTAGTCCTGTTTATCTCTGTGTTGCCCAGTGACCTGTCCAGGTTGTACCCCGCCTCTCACTCATTGACAGCTGGAGAAAAGCACCAGCAGGTATGGAAGAAGGATGGACTTTCCCAAGTACTTATTTGCTTTGAAAATATGTTATATAATCTTTTTATGATACTGTGGCTTATTATCTACCTTTATGCAGCAAACATATGCATATAAATTACAAGGTTTGTAAATGTATACATGCGCTAATGAAGGGGAGCAAAGGGAGAAAATATCTTCAACCACAGTATTTTATTACAAAATAGGATAATATGAACAAAATGTTGATTAATTCCAATCAAAATTTTATTGACATTTTTAAATTTTATGATTTATTAAAACCCCAACTCCAAATGAATTTAAGGTGACCTGTGAATACCTTGTAATTGGTTGATGGACCGGTGCCCATATGGTTAGGTTTTTTTAGAAAGAGGTGTCAGAGGTTGTTCCTGGAATCTGCTGCAACCACTTCCTTGGTTCTGGGGTCAAACCCTGCAGTGCACAGATGACAACTTGCACCATGAGGCCTTGAACTGCCCCCATTTCTATTTCCTTCTCATGGAGTCCTTGGTATTTCTGGAGCTTGTCGTGTTCCTTCTTTTTAATGTTGCTATCCTATGGGATTACAAAAGTTCGATAAATACTCCAAAAAAATATACAACTTTGTTCTTTTTGTCAGGGCCACTACACCTTCTTTTATATTCAACTCTTGACAAGAACCCAAGTGTAGAACTCCTTAGAAGTCTCCCACTGCTCCACACCCACTTCATATCTTTTAAGCACAGTGTAAGAAAAAATCTTCTGCCCAGAATATTTGTGAGTGACATGCAACATGATATCCCAAGCCAGAAAAGAAGAAAGGGAGAGGCAAAAAAGGCTCCTTCAGTCTCAACTAATGGCCTACAGAATAAATGACTTGTTACCACAGAGTAAGACGAGGTAAATTTCCTGTTGGGCAAAACAAATGAGCACTCTCAAGACAAATGAAAGATAAGTCTTGCAAAATTTGCCAATGTTATTGGATACAGAACAATCTTTGAAGCAGTGACCACTGATGGGGCTAATAACTATTTAAAAAGAATGTTGATAAACCCCAGCCATGAGAAGATGTTCAACGCCTGAGTAGTGAAAATGATTTTCAGGAAAGTTGACAAGGGGAGGGTTCATGGAGAGATTTAAGAAGATCTGGAATTAGTAGAAACAACACTTGCATGGAAAACAATATCTAATGGATTATACCACCATGACCTGTATGCTCATTCACCACACTGCTGAGGAAGAAGCATGCTAAAGCACATTTTATAAACTACTTTTAGAAAGCCTATAAAATATTGTCAAAAAATGAGGTATTTGATTGCCTTAATATACACTATGTTGAGGAAGATAAAAGGGATGAACTACACCCCTAAACCACAATCCCAACAGCTAAACTTAAAGGTGGAAACATCATGGAATGGGGCTTGTTTCAGCCATTAACAATATATACCTAGACGCTAATCTACTTCACCGCCATATTGGATGGGTCTCCCAAAGCAGGGAGAGAACAGCTCTCCCTGTATTTTGCGTAGTTTCAGCTGTGATAATCGGTGCAGTATGGAAAGTAGACCACATGAGATTACCTTCCACAAGACACTGCAAAAAATAAAATCTAAATAAGTCATGTTTTCTTAAAATAAGTGCATTTTTTTCAATCCTTAATTCAAGAAAAAACACACTTATTTTAACTTACTTATTTTTTCAAGAAAAAAATGCAGTTATTTTCTTAAAATAAGTGCGTTTTTTCTTGAATTAAGGATTGAAGTGAGACACTTTGCCAATGGAACAAGACAATTTACACTTTAAACAAGGAAAAAACAATTGCATTGTCTTATTTCAAGTGCATAATATCTAGGTACCTTATTTTAAGAGTAAAAATACTAATTCCATTGGCAAATCATCTTATTTACCTGCTCAAATTAAGGGTAAATATACTTAATTTAAGACATTTGTACTCATTTTGAGATTGTTTTTGCAGTGAAAGACTTAACAATAATTTAGGACATTTGGCAAACCATAATATCATGTCATCGTAGCTCAGATTATTTGGCAATGGATGAAATACCAACAGCAGGAGCTGGGTCTCTCTCTCTCTTCTGCTCGTCTCGATTCTTTCTTTGTATTTCTCCAGTTTCCCAGTTATATAGAAAATTGTTGGTCATAGGGTTTTTGTTGTTACAGTCTTCTTGTCATACTCCTAGGTCTGGGTGCAGGCTGTTTTTTTCCTTACTCTCTCCTCAGCAAGGCTGGACGGGCAGGTGCTTTTCATCTGAGTTGATTACCGCCCTTCATAAGGAGCTGGAACCAGGAGGAGGGTGTCAGTTCATTAGTGCTTCTGCGTGGTACAGACTGATCCTTTTCCTAGCCTTGCTTCCTCATTTAACCAGATCCTAACCCCACTCTCTGTTTGCTCCTTCATAGAACCCTGGATTCCAAGCCTGAGATGATTCCTCAGAATCACTTCACTCAGAACACTCGCCAGAGACGCTCCCAGTCTTCCTCCAGGAATTCATGAGGCCACAGGTCTCTTTTCTGCTTAAAGCCCTTACAGAGATTTCTGTAATTCATATGTAAAGGAAGGAAGTTTACATCAAACTTTATCAAATATGTTTTTACCATCTGATCAGAGTCTACAGCAGGATAAGCTGGATGCAAAGAAAAGAGCAAAGAGCCTCATGAGCAGAGGTGTCAAGTAACCAAGTACGAATACTTTGTTACTGTATTCAAGCACACTTTTTAGATATCTGTACTTTACTCCATTACTTATTGTTCTTCCTACTTCTGTATTCTACTCATTACATTTTCACACAAGTATCTGTTCTTTCTATTCCTTACATTTTTAACACAAACGTTACTCGTTGCTCTTTGCTTTGGTTTAATGTTTATAAATATTTACCAATGCAGATCATTGGCTCCATCCACATCTAGTGAAAACTAGTGTAATTGGATGAGTCATATAACGCAAACACTGATTGGTTAGCTAAAGGAAATCATCAGAAGCAAGCAGATGTTCTCCAAACTGCAAAGCGAATTGTCTATGCCATGCTACAATGTGGGATTCAGAAAAAAATGTTGAAATGTCTGAGAGGTCAGACACAGGTGATGGAGACCAACAAGACCTCCCTCATCCTTGGTCCTATCTCAAAGAATTTTTCGAAATAGTCGCAAAATTGAGCTTTCAATTCATACAGTGGCATCTGGCTGTTGTTTTTTAAAGGTTACTTTATACTTTTATACTTTAAGTAGTTTTTGGAGCACATTCTTTTTCACTTTTACTTGAGTAAAGAGGTCAAGTTGATACTTCAACTTTTACTAGAGTGTTTTTAAACTGCAGTTTCTATACTTCTATTTAAGTAACAAATGTGTGTAATTTTGACACCACTGCTTATAAAGGATCTAAAGTGAAATATATTTTTTTATATCTCTCTCTCTATATATATAGACAGACATATATGTAGATAATGAATACTTGTTCCTCTGCATTTTCCAGTATTAGCAATTGCCATTTATTTTAACTATACTGTATGTTTAGCCTACAAAAGTTTTCATGTTGATCTGCTCTTTTGAACAATTCACTCTGAGACAGGTATAATCCACTGCATTGTGTGAAGATGTTGTTTAGTGGGAGGAGCTTTGTATCGATCAAAAACAGACTGGGAGGCGCGCTGCAGTGAACTTAGAGGAAGAAGAAAAGCTTTATACAATCAGTTGTGCTCTCCGCCTGGAAAGTCAGCAACAACCTGCCGACAGCGCTACTTTTAAACTCCGCATCTGAGGATAATTGTTTGTTTTTTCTTTTTCATTTTCTCTGATGGATAAAATGGGAACAACGAGTGAGGAAAAATGAGAAGGCTGGGAGTAAGAAAAGAACTGAAACTTCATAGTTTTTTATGTATAGCTGGTTCGGTGAGTATTCATTATTCATTTTAAGTGTTTGTATAGTTATTTAGACTCTTTTCATATAATTTTGATAGGAATAATGAGAATCTCTATAAATCCTGATGTGCCACTCTGCCAGGGTAGGTTATAGTTTTCTGAAATTGTCATTTGCTCCACAGAAGCTGCAGGAAACCAGTAGTGAACCTGGAGCGCCTTAATGCAAGGCAGCATCATGTCCCCAGCCGTGCATCCTCATTGTGCGACGTGCCAAGTGATTATCACCAGAAAACAGGATTTTAACTTGCGTGGAGATTTGGATTATTTTTTATTGCTCCAAGTATTCTAGAAAAAATATCTCCTGAAAAAAGCTTTAACATGAACACCTCGGAGTGCCACAACACCTCCTCCATTGTGACCAATGTTGACAAACTTTTAACAAGCGCCTTCATGTTTTTCGCTGGAGTAGTGGGGAACCTGCTGGCTCTCTTCATCCTCGGGGTGCACCGGAAGGAGCACCGCTCCAGGTCCTCGGTCTTCTGCGTCCTGGTGACGGGTCTGGCCCTTACTGACCTGCTGGGAACCTGCCTCCTCAGCCCACCTGTGTTCACCTGCTACGCCCTCGACAAGTCGCTGATAAGCCTGGGTGGTGATGCGCTCTGCAACGTGTTTGGCGCAGCGGTCATCTTCTTTGCGCTGGCACCGACTCTCATACTGTGCGCCATGGCGCTGGAGCGCTGCTTGGCCATCAGCCACCCATACTTCTACTCAGTACATATTCGGCGCAACCTTGCCAAAGTCACCCTTTTCTTTATTTACATTTTCTCCCTGGCATTTTGCCTCCTACCATACAGCGGCTATGGTCAGTTCAGACAGTACTGCCCCGGGACGTGGTGTTTCGTTAAAATGGAAGCAGGCAGAGATGGCTTGGTTCTAGCCTTCTCTCTATCCTACTCTTCACTCATGGCGCTGCTGATCTTCATTGTGTTCGTCTGCAACGGCTCGGTGATCGTCAGTCTGTGCCAGATGCGCAGGAGCCACCTGAATCGCCGCGGATCCGTGGTGTCTGTGGCGCGGAAGAAAAGATTTAACCTGGCCTGGTTCGGGCGCGGGGAAGAGGAGATGGACCACCTGGTCCTGCTGGCTCTCATCACTGTCATCTTTGTGGTGTGCTCCCTGCCTCTCACCGTGAGTATTAAACATACCCATCTGTGTTCTAACCAGAGGCGTAGCCAGAAAATCTGAATAGGGGTGGCCGAAAGGCACCAGAACCTCAGGGTCATTCTACACTGACAAACTATCCTTTCCTGCAGCCTCTGCTAATAAATAGAGGCATGTATTTAACCTCTTAACATCCACCTCATTTTGGGAAATCTTCACCTATTTTGCATACCCAAATGGAAAAGCGCCAAATTACATGTGCAATACATTATTTGAAAGCTAACTCCTTAAATTTGGGTATAAAAAAAAATTGGGTGACTGGAACGCAGACCAAACTGCATCAGTTCAAACATCACTCAAAGTTGTTGTTTTTTTATTCTCAGAATTGATAGGTCTTTTTTGAACAGCAGTAATAAAGACATTCTTGAGAAAAGGCAAGTTGTATTGCATTATATTTGTTCTACATCATGTCAACCACAAATACAGAAAATTCCAGACCTCTAGCTATAACAGTTCCAGAGCTGTGGGGTATGGCACATTTGGTGTCAGCTTGGAGTGTCCCGCAATGGCTCCACCTGCTGGTAGAAATTTTACCGGTGGAATTTTATGCATTCTGAATTATTACCCCCACTTAAGGTCCAACAGGTTGCCAGCGACCTGGTTAGTTTTAAGAGGTTAAACATCTATGCTGTCTAAATTAAAGGTATATTGGACAAAATTCTTTCAGGTTTGAGTTCTGGGGCGAACATATTTTACATAGTAAAATACTTTTATCAATAATCTTTCTGCAAAAAATTATATTTAAGTCTACTGATATCCACATTTAATGAATTTTGAAGTTATTGTTAAAGTATTTATCTCTGAAGACTCCTAGATGACTTTATAGGTATATAATTTTATCTTCACCCCAAATAATTCAAAATGTATTTCTGAAAAGGGCACAAATGCTGTATCTAACATCTTTAATGTTTGTATATTGATGTGCATAATTAACCACAGTGTTTCTGTTGTCCAGTAGTTAATATATGAAAAATGTAAATGTTTAATAAGTTTGAAGATTCCCCGTCATTCTCCCTGGTTCTAACGTAGAGCCTGATTTATTGCAGAATTGATGATTTTCAGTACCAGTACTACACTGCAAAAAATGTTAATCTAAGTAAGTCAGTTCTTCTTAAAATAAGTGTATTTTTCTGCAATTAAGCAGGTAAGTTAGACACTTTGTCAACGGCACCACACAATTTACATTTAGAATAAGAAAAAACAACAACAGTCTCTTATTTCAAGTGCATAATGTCTAATTATCTTATTTTAAGGGTAAAAATACTAATTCCATTGGCATATCATCTTATTTTCCATACTCAAATTAAGGGTAAATACACTTATTTTAAGAAATGTTTACTCATTTTCGGAATGTTTTTTGCAATGTATAGGTTAAGTAAATTAGAAGTGAGGGGGAAAACAGAAAAGATTTTTTTATTCTACGTGGTTTAAAACTTATTGTGTATTACAGTATTGTTTGAAAATCTTTAATGTGTTTGTTGCAAATTATATTCAATATGTGAACTTCAGCTGCTACATAGGGAAGTCTTTCTTGATCTCACCATATTTGTGATGTGCAATTCTACTCTGGGGTTAAACCTGATTCTTTTATGGAAAGATACATTTATAAAGAAAAGCTGAACAAGATGAAAATGGTCAATTGCTTTCACTTGTTTCAGAAAGTGAATTTGATTAATTTAACGCCTTTTATTTCCTGAAATTTTAATAATTATGACTCACAGAGAATGAAAACCTCAAATCCAGTGTCTCATAGAACCAAAATTAGTTATAATATTGGAAACTAATGGTGTCAGTTTGTGATGAGTTAACTTACATTTAGAGTTTCAAGATTTCCTCACCCACCACCCTGAGACCTTGCCTCAGTCAGCAACACAGTCATCAGGCAGACTGCTGATGTCCACAGAAAAATCATCAACAGCCTCTTTATGGAGGATAAACCACTAAAGGTTATGGCTGAGGAAGTTGGTTCATCACAGAGTGCTGTAGCCAAGTATATTCATAGAGGATTAAGGAAAGGAAATCTAAAAGGTGTGATCTAAAAGGATTAATCATGAAAAGGGATAAAATCAGCCATGAGAAGATTGCCAAGCAAAATTAATTAATAATCAATAATACAGGGAAGCTTCCAGGGGGAGTAGACTTAGTCTTTGGCAGCAAACAATGAGTCCAAGATGCTAAAGGTCAGTGAAAGCAATGATTTTACAATGATTTTCACCCAATATCTTGTAAAGCCCTTCACAGCTATTGATTTTTTGAAGAAAAGGTTACTCTATTTGTGGAGAGGGGGGGCACTGTTATGACTAATAAATTGCTTTTATTTGTTTATTATTATTCATAAAAACAATACAGAAAACCAACTATTTTGCACAACATTGTTATGTTAGACAAATGACTGTATATCATAGTATCTAATTGAACTTTTGTAATGACGGTGTTCAGTTGATGATCCAGCAATCAGCAGCAGGCCAATAGACTCATGTAGACCTTTGGGAAAAATTAAGGGCTCACAGATGGATTAAAACCGTCTGTTTTCCCACCTGACTTGTTTGTTGTCATGGTAGGCCAATCAATTTTCAGCTTGAAAATCCAGTAAATCAGAACACCTCTCTGTGATATCTGCTTCTGTAAATAGATAATTTCCATATTTGGGAAACATCCATTCATATTATAAGCTAACAATTCAGGGCCCCATCATGTTCTTTCCGATGCATTAGCCATGTTGATCACAAGTCACTATAACAGAATTAGAATATTTCTAAAAAGTCAACACCTTGGTTTGTTTAAACCAGGCGTCCAAATTGTCGTACAAACAAGTTTAGACATGTCTGATCTCAAGATGAAAGAAATGAGTTGTATTGACAGTAGGTTTTGCTTTTGTAAGGGTTACAATGAGAGGAGATGGATATCACCTTCTGTCTTCCCTAAGGGAATCATCAGGTTTATATGAACGTTCAGTGGGCATGGTGACTGTTGTGGAATGTCTTTGTATGCACTGTTTAAGCCTCCTTAACGGTTGTGTTCTGTTCTTCTGGCTCAGCATTGAGGTGTGTCTGATGTGTGAATTCGTCTTGAGCAGCTGTCTCTCTAGCCTCATACTTGGTCCTATTTTAGAGAAGTTTACCTAACCTGAAAACCCTGGAGGACTGGTCTAGCCCTGCCTCTCCCTCACGGTAGAGGGTTGCTTCCTGTCAGTTGAAATCTAAGACAAACTCTGTTCCACTAAACATTGCAAGGCTAACTAAATAAGGGCTTTAAAGTATGTGATAAATGCAGATTTTGTAATAAGGATTTGGTTCCTGTGGTATATGATTGCCATCTTCTTAGAAATAAAGTGCTTTTTTAAGCTATAAAAAGGGTTGTGTTCTCACCATTTAGTCATTTGCAGTCTGTCTGGATGCTTTCTGGTAACATGAGGGCCGAATATTTGACTCACCTGTGGTTCATGATGAAATATGACCCAAATCGTAGCTGAAAAAAAAAAAAAAACCTGCGGAAACACAACCATGACAAAGTGTTTTTCATGTCTGTCTCAGTAAGACTCCAGGAAACATCCGCTTTGCTGCTTACAGACATACTGCATGTGTATTCTAGACAAGCAATGAGGCTGAGTGAAGTTGTTTCAGTTTCGAAAGAATCAGGATTGAAGATATCCAAAATATGATCTTATTTGTGCCTGATTTAGATTTCAAATGTATAGGAATAGGGTTTTAGGGTTAGAGTCACTGTCAGTCAAGATCACACTAAACTCTCCTTCTTTAAGAATGACAGATGTTTTTTGTTTTTTTAAGTCTTTCACTTGGAAGAATTATGCCTCATTCTTTGCACAATGATTTTTATTAATCCACGCCTAAGGGTTTCCAAGCATTGTTTGCTTGTTTAACGTGTAAAAACATATCAGTCATATTAAACTACAGGTTTTGACTCATCTTATGCTTTTTTTGTTTAACTATGTTTTTACCCATTTAGCTGCAGACTTGCTGGTGTGCCTCAGACCATTGTCCTTCTGTACAATCTGAAGGCTTTTAAGCTTAATGCCATAAAATGATGGCCAAACATTTTCCTTCTAGGTTTTCTGATTGCATTGCTTTTTTGGTTTGAAAGTTATTAAATTCAGGAGCTAGTATTTTAGCAGCTTTCTGGGTCACAGTAAATACAGATATGAAGAATGTCTAAACAATAGTCTCTCTTACATTCAAAATATGATTGTAGATGGTAATAAAATGCTTAAATTCTTATTTATGACAGGCTTTTCATAGTAATTTGCCTGTTATTCACAGGCTGTGAATGTTATGAGTTGGCTCTACAATGTGCTGTCATATGCTACGAGGATAAAACATAAATATCTCTAAATTACATGTTGATTTGAGTCATGCAAAGTTCTTAAAATATTTAAAGAAATTATTAAATGAGCAATAACTGGTGCAGACTTAAATTTTCTATACATGCTGTTTGCTATCTTAATCACTTTAATCCTGTGGTGCTTTGCCTAGAGACATTTTTTACAGTTTTTTGTGTCTGTTTTTAAAGCTTTGTGGTTGTAACATTCATCATCCTGTGAAGCCTGATACAGCATGCATAAGCAACTGTAACCTTTTTCCCGACAGATGTGTGTCTGTGATTAACACTGGTTGGTTTGGCTCACAGCACAACAGATGCCAGAAAGGAAGGCAGAAAGAGGTCTGATTCAGTCTGCTGCACTGTTGTTAATGTGTTGCTCACATTTGATATATTCTGAAAAGATTTATTGTGGACATGCACAGGAAGGGAATGACTGACTGCATTTTTATTTCTTTTAGTTTTAGTGAGCATAAGAGGAAACCACAAAAAAAAAAAACATGGTGCTACCATATGTTCCCCATTATTCTTAAACTAGTTAAAGCAATGTTATGTAACACAATACACCTCAGAGAGCCAATGTTAGAATTATTTCAGTCTGAAGAATTGGATCTGTACCAGCAGTGTCGCCA